GGCTGCCCAAGGCCTGAGAAGTCATTATTCATCAAGGCAGTTTGACCAACTGACAGCGTCCCAGGGCACAATAATCAGTCACATTTAGCAGCCAGGCGCTGCAGCCACGAGGCCCCTGGGCAGGAACAAGGGGCATCAGCAAAGCTGGAGGAGGAAGAGACTGGGTCTAAGCTGATGGGGGAGAAAGGCTCAGCCTTTTGCTTCATCCATGGGAGCCAGGTTGAATCCATCAAGAAATATATGAGGGCTGGGAGAAGGGGGAGCTCGACCGCACCAGCCCCACYGCATAGGTCCTACAGCGGAGGGGACGGGTACGCTGAGGGAGCCCCGCGGGAAGGGGTGCCGGGTGGCAGCCCCCGCTACCTGCAGTCCCGGGAGCTCAGCTGCACCACAACTCCCGAGCAGAGGCGCTCGCGGGGCCTCCGCCGGGCCGCATGCCGCACTTCCCATAAACAAGTCATCTGGAAAATAAGTAAGCCCGTAAAAATCCAGCCCGGCGCAAGTTACCAAACCTGTTTCGGAGTAAAACAACCTACAGCAGCTGGAGGCAGGAGGCTGGTGGTGGAGCAGACCCCGGGCTCCCCAGCGCTGGGGCTCCCTGCTTAACGTGCATGGCAGTGGGGAGATGGGACACGGGGCTTGCTCAAACAGGAGGTCTTCTCTTGCATCAGAGGCATCTATTGCAGTGAAACGGGCGGCATTTCCCCCCTAGACACCTCRACTTTCTGACCTCTGCAGCGATCAGCTGGGCAGCAAGGGCAAGGTGGCCACCTCTGCACCAGGGCTGGTGGCCAGGGCCTGCAAAGGGCCACGGTTTCAGATGCAGGCTGGGCACTCAGCTCTCTGTGCCTCTACACAGTGCTTGCCCTCCGCTCTCCCCTGCTTTAGCAGGCACCTGAACTGAGCTTAGCCGGGGCACTGCAGAGAAAGCCCAGCTCTGCTGTGGGCCAGATGGATCCCAAACTCCCTTCCCTGTCCCCCTGGCTTCACCCRAGGGTGCTGCTCCAGGGATGGAGCCATGTTCTGCTCCTGCACAGCAGCAGCCCCCCGAATGCTTCCCCCAGGACATGTCCCTGCAGCCACTTTGCACATTTTCTTCCTCCTCTTTACATTCAGAGATACTGGAGATGCTCAGAAAAGAGGATTTTTCTCTCTGCCTTATAGGAGAGTGCAGTAAAGAAGGTGAATGCGATCCGGGTCCCTTGGAACAAAAGCAAAGGGGAAGCAGAGCCTGATACCCCCTCTGCAAGAGGCACCCTTAGCTGCGCACGGCAGCTTTGTCCTGCCTTCAGACAACCAGGTGCAAGAGAAAAAGGGGGTCAACACAGTGGGAGCATCTAGCAAATGTCTGGGTGAGCCCCTTCTGCCCATCTTGGCTGCAGCTTTCTGACTGGCCCTCTTATTCCAGCAACATCTTCTTACCCACCATCTTTGGGTGACAGAAAAAAAAAAAAGAAAAAAAAAAGTAATATACCAGCCTCAAGTTGGAATAACTTTCTTTTTCAACCTTAGAAGCAAACCCGCCATGCCTGGGAATACCAGGCGGGAGGCACATGTCTCTGGCAGGAAAGGCAAAGATGGAAGTCAAAAAAAAAGCCCTGTTTCATTCTGAGACCTTGACACAAATAAAGCCTCCAGAAGCAAGAAAGAGGGTGGGTTGTTGGCTTTTCTTTCCCTCCCTCTCTCTCTCTCCTCTAAGCGCTACAAAAACAGGAAACAAAGGAGAAAACATCTCACAAGGGGGAAGGGGAGGTAAGCGTTTTCTACGCCCACGAAAGAAAGATTAACCACATACTTTATTTACTGTTTGTACTATGGTTGCACCTTTGAGTTCATCCAACCCTGAGTCAGGGCTGTGTGGGTTTGTGCAGCACCTACCACTGAAAGGTCTCTCTCCCGCGAGACAACCCAGGACAAGCCTCCACTTTGGGTAACTGCTCTGCGGACACCCTGCTTCCTCCCACGCCAACCCGCTTCCCGCTTCTCGGGGCCAGCAAAGAGATCTCCCGGGCAAGCCGCTAGCTTCAGGCTGCTGAAGCAGGGCTTCTGTTCCCAAACTGCTTTGAGTCCCTCTGCCCCCTTCAAAAGGCCCTGCAAGCAGAGGGTGGGATGCCCTGTGAGGAGGCCTGTCAGCAGGRCTGTCTTTACAAGGACTAGAAAGGGGTGGACTGGAGCTTCCCAGCCCTGCTCCTGGAAWAACCCTGTTGCGGGGCTGGTCTCCAACACCTGCAACCCCTCCATGTCATGTCCCAGGCAGCAGATGAGGCTCCTGGGCTCTAACCTTCGACTCATCTCTCAGTGAGGAGCTTCCCAAACAGACATGCACAGCACAAACCTCTCACGAGCGTTTACTCGGGGGCCTCCCCGGGCTCTGGTGAGCGCGATGCCTGGCACGCTGCCCTCCCCGGCCGGCCCTCCTCGCAGCCCGGGGCTCGGGAGACATGGACACCACTGCCCATGCTGCTGGAGTGGGCGCCTCCGTGCGCGGCGCGTGAGCAAGCGGTCAGGAATCCCGGCCCGGCTGCTGCCACCGGCTGGGCGCGCAGGATGCGGCACGCGGGCGGCCTCATTCGGGAGCCACCGCATTCCTCTCCGGGACCGGCTCGCGCAGCTCGGCGAGGGGTGGATTTTAAGCAGAGCCCTGCCCAAGGCCACACAGTGAGCGCAGGCGAGAGCCGGCAGCCTCGCAGTGGTTTTGGCTTCCTAGCTAGCAGAGAAACTGCTCGAACTGCAGGGGAATCCTCCAGGTGCAACAGCACATCCCAGCTCCGAGGCGTCCACCACAATCCCAGCACCCAACTCAGCCATGAGCACCCACCATAACCCAGCAGGGAGAGACAAGCACATTAGCGCAGAGATGGGAGCCAAGGCAGGAGGTGSGAAGGGCCTTGGCCAAGGTCACCCGGATGGGCTGCAGCTCTGCCCCAGGCCGACGCCACTGGTGCCCGGCCCTGTCGCCCACAAWGTCACCCTGGGGCCAACGCTCAGGCTCGCCGGCAGCAGTTACGCGCCAGGCCGAGCGCGGCGCAGATCCGCGAGGAGCAGCAACAGCCAGCCCTAACAACGGCAACAACAACAACAACAAAAATGCCGGGAGAGCGGGAAAAGATGAGATCAAAGTGTCCTGGAAAAGGACCTGGAAAAATACTTTTGGTCCCTGGCTAGCGCTCCCAGGAAATGCACACACAGGCAGGCCTGTCCCGGCCCCGCGCTCCTCCCGGGTGGCTCTCCACCCTGGCACGGAGAGACAGAAATGACTCCCTATAAATAGAAGCAGAAAAGCGCTTCTCTAAAGGCCTGGCTGGGTCTTTCCCCTTCCAGTGTGTGTGGCGGAGCTGCTGGCACCTCCGCGGAGGTCTCTGGTTTTCCCCAAAAAAACCTGGAGAGGAAAATAACCTTCCTGTTAGCTCACACTGGCTGCTGGCTGCACAGAGCCACCTCCCCTCCTCCCAGGCCTGGCCATCCAATTGGAAAGTAATTATCCTGCAATTTTTATTTATGACTTTTTTTTTTATTGCTAAATGGTGACTCATTTTGGCAACATTAAAATACACAGGAAATCATCCCCATTTTACAGTAATCACCATTCAATTCATTGTTAAATATTTATTCGGCAGGCCAGCGCTGGGCCTCTTCCGAAGGGTCCGAGCGAGGGCCCTGGGGCAGCCGGGAGGGGAGCGATGGCTGGAGGCCGGCAGGGCGCTTCAACACCCACCAGGAACTGCAGGGTCTGGAGCCAGGGGCGAAAGCTCTGCCAGATGGTCTGGCCACAAGCAAAGTACAGCCTTGCTTTGCCCCACGCCAGCACCGTGCCCCACACCCTCTCCTTAGAAAACCCCATCACTTGGCCCAAACCCATCCCTGAGTCCCCACGAACAAGAGGTCTGGCTTCCTGGCTGGAATCACTGCGCGAGGGGAGGCTCTCCCGGCCTCGGCCCTTGCGGCAGGACTGGGAATGCTCGCGCCAGGCTTCGTAGAGGCGAGGCAGGAGGGGGTCGAGGCAGCAGCCTGCTGCCTGCCAGCCTTCCAAGGGACAGGGCAGGGTCCCCAYGGCTGGGCTTTGTCACAATCCAGCCTCCGGCACAGGCAGCCCCATCCTGCGCCCTTGACCCACACCCCGAAGAGGCCAAGGCCTCTGGAGCAGAGCACATGGGCAAGCTGCTCTCTCTGCTGCTGATTTTCAGCATGTTTCTCCTTGAGCTGTCTGCTGGTCCTGCTCTGGATCCCGGCAGGGCTGTGGCCAGGCAGGGACCGAGGGAAAAATTGCTCCTCAGACTCCCCTCTGCTCCGCAGCCTTCACCAGTGCTGTGCTCAGACCTCTTCCCGGGCCCGTGTCACCGCATCAGCGAGACACTGCGAGCGGCCRCAGCTCGGCAGCCCAACGGCTGCAGATGGCGGCAGGCACCCACCCCCTTCCCGGGAGACCTTCCCGGGAACAACCCCCCCGCCTCCATTGCCCTTTGGCGGACGCAGGTCCTCCCCGCGACAGGGCTGCGATCTAACATGTCTGCTGCTTCCTGCCCCGCAGCCGGCGCTGCCGAGCCCGCTGCACGGCCCGGGGAGCAGGTCCTTACGTCAAAGGACGAGCGGCAGGAGCGGCGCCAGGACGCGCATCGCGCAGGCCCYGCAAGCGCCGGCCTCGGCACGCGAGGCGGCGAGAGCCCCACAGCACTGCGCCGAGCGCCGCGTCCCTCCCGCACGACACCGAGCACCGCATCCCTCCCGTACGGCACCGCGCCGAGCACCGCCTCCCTCCCGTGTGGCACCGAGCGCTGCGTCCCTGCCGTGCGGCACCGCACCGAGCGCTGCGTCCTGCCAAGGGAGGCGAATACCCCCAGGCGAGCGCGGGGTGTGCTCGCAGACGCCACAGCGCGCGCCGCAGCAGGCACCTGCCGCAGGCCTGGCCACTCCGGGTCCCCCGGATCCCCTTCCCGGCTGCGTCCTGCCGCAGGACGCGCTCGGAGCGGCCTCAGCCTGGGGCCGTCCGTACACGCACTCACCCTGATCTCGTTGCGGCGGATCTCCACGTCGCAGACCGAGTGTCCCTGGTGGGCGCCGCTGTAGTAGCAGCAGAACTGGCACACGGCCACCTGCTCGGCCTCGCAGTGGTACAGGCGGTAGGCATTGTGCTGGGGGCAGCTCCAGGCCCGCACGTCGTCCGCCTCCACCAGGAGGTGCCCCCGGGCCGTGGAGGGCTGCTGCAGGTGGGTCTGCACGTGCGACTGGCAGCAGGGCGCCTCGCAGCGCAGGCAGATCTTCTGCGCCGGCAGCGGCGGCCCGCGGCGGCAGAAGACGCAGTGCAACACGGCGGGCGGCTTCTCCAGGTTGAGCGAGTTGAACTTCTCCACGATGTTGGTGAGCTTRAGGTTCTTCTCCAGGTTGGGCTTCTGGTTGTAGGCCTGGTTGCACTCGGGGCAGCGCACCAAGCCCGACTCCTTGGCCCAGGCCTCGCCGATGCAGCCGCGGCAGAAGTTGTGCTTGCACGGCAGCTGCACGGGCTCCACAAAGACGTGCAGGCAGATGGGGCAGATGAGCTCCTCTTCGAAGCAGTTCTTCCAGTTCTCGGCCATTTCTGTGGCGGGATCTGGCGCCTTCCCCCCCTCCCCAACCGTTTAATCTCTCACTTGGGGCTACAGATGGACGCCGGGCTCTTTTCTCCCTGTAACAGGAAGTCTCAGGGTGAATCGCTGTTCCCCCTCCTCCCGCCCCCCTCTTCTTTAGCGCACATAATAAATAAAAACCGCAACATATTTTAAAATTAGGAATAAAATAAACCACAGAGCAGCATTCTAGGAATCCCAGGAAGGAAAACACAACCTTCGTGTCGTTTTGTTAACGGGAAAAACTAAAAAGATAAGAAAAAGGACACAATATTCCAGGATTTACAACCCCATGTCTTAACAAGCCCTAAAAAACAATTTCTTCCGCTCCCCGAAGGGGAATCGAAACTTACCGAAGGTTGAAAAAAATCCATACAAAATCCAGCCGCAGCGTCCAAGTCCATATAAACCTCCTACAATTTAGCGCTCCGGATCCGCGTTTCCTTTCCCTGGGTTTGCGACTGACATTCAATATTTTAAAGGGACTTTTGTCCCCCACCAACCTGGCTAACAGCTGAGAGAACAGGCTCGCTCGGGTTTTCTCTTTATTATTATGGTGATGATGATTTCTCCTCCCTTTCTCCCTGTCGGGAGCTCAGAATCGGAGTCTTTTTAAAGGAAACAGATCAAAGGGTTAAGATCCAAAAGGGGAAAAGGAGGAAGGTTAAAATATATATATAGTATTAATAATAGCAACGATGACGGTGACGAAAAACTGAATTCTCCCAGCGGCCCCAAGATCTGCTTCTAACC